GGGGGGGGACGGGGTAGTGAAAAAGGTCGGAAAGACTGGAGAGGTTGGCTGGTAGGCTTTCACGACCCCCTCCGTGTCTCCCCGTCCCTACTCTGCACCACATGTGTTTTCCGAGTGCGGAAGGTGGGGGGTGGGGGAGTGTTAGACCTACATTCTTGTGTAAAGGGGTAACACATGCACACGGAATCTCCCTTCTCTCTCCAAAGCTGTCTTCGTTAAAAATGGTCCAACACCATCCTCAAGGCGAACTCCGGCGAACGCGACGGTCAACAAGGATGAGCTACAACAGACTTTTAGGTGTGACAAACGACATTCGTACACATAGAGGCACAAGAGAGTGTGTGAAATTCAGAGAAAAATTCATATTTTTACTCAAGTGTGCGAATGGTCATGCACACACCAGCGTCTCCAGTGCACGGGCTTTGTTTGTTTCGGCTAATCGATTCATCGCCACCTCGACCGCCTTCCGGGCCGCGACTCGCCCGGCGGGGCCCTTGGCCTTGCCGGCGTGCTCCGGGTCGATACGGCAGCGACCGACTGCTGCAAAGACTGACGCGAAGAGAATCGCCGACGTTTTCTATAGTAGACTTCAGACTTAGCCAAAAGAAAAGGTGTTTTGTGACAGAGTATCTTGCAGCTGATGGTTCATTCATATGTGCCCCAGGGCCCTACGGGGCGGGTGGTGAGGAGGGGAGTGGGGTACTTGACCACCGTACGCCTCCACCTCAGTAAGCCCGCCTGATCACAGGGGGGACCAAAAGGGGCGTCTCCCCCACCCCCTCCCCCCACCTTCACCACACTCCCTTCCCTGCTACTAGTAACCAAACTAATTAATTGGCTGAGCAAGTCGGTCGCTCAAAGGACTCACTGCTTGGGAGCGAGAGAGACAGAGGGAGAGAGAGAGGGAGAGACGGTCACTCCAAAGAGGGGCTGGCTGGGAAGGGTTGACCACACGGACAATGATGATAAGCCCTATTGTGCGTTACCCTGCGCGGAGCGGGAGCTGATTGGTGCACGGCTCCGCCCGCCCGGAGCTTCGACTCGGAATTATTATTATTATTGTCACGAATCCTCCATGATTATTACTTTACTTCTGCTACATATAATAATGTTCTTCTCTCTTTTGTGCTTTTGCAGAATGGAAGAGGCCCTACGGTGCATGCTGCAGTACAAGACCCGATGCTCGCAGTTGAAGCAGGACAAGGCAACCCTCGCCGCAGCGTACGAGGTGATTATAATTTGAGCTCCGATTGTTTCACCGTTGTTTCATATTTCTAGCAGAGTCACCACACCACGGCGCACAACACCACACGGGGCCATTGCTGATGATATCCAAACACGTGACGAACTGTAGTGGGGGCCGGGCCGGGCGGAGGGTCCCCAGGGGGGCAGGAGTAGGGAGAGAGAGGGGGAGGGGGACCGGGGAGGGTGCACCTCGGCGCGTGCAGTGTCTCGGGTTTTTGACTCGTCCTCCCTACAGACCTGAATTAAGAGAGAAATATCGAAATAAGTTTTTCGTACAGTATTTCGTGGTTACTTTTGACACGCTCCTCTAATAGTCTCTATACCATTAGAAACTTTCAGTCCCCCTCCCTCTCCCCTAACTACCTCAGGTCTAAACCTCACGTGCAATAGTAATGATGTCATCTCTCATAAAGCTTCTAGTAACAATACTAAGTAATTCATCTAACTTGCCCGTGTTACTTTGCACTTGTCCACACGCCGCTGGCCTCGGCCCCGGGCGCGCCCGCTCGGTCGGTCGGCCCGCTCGCTCGCTCGGTCGGTTCTTTATCGGGCGCCCGCATCGCATTAAACGCATCCATCATGTTACTTACGCCCTTATCGGGGCGTGGACACAGGAAATTGCCTGCAGCTTGATTATTGGGAGCGCGACTAGGCGGTCGGGGTGGGCCGGGTCGACCGTGCGGACGCATTTCGAGAACCTCTGGAAACCCTGTGGAAACCCCTTTAAAAACACCAGCAAAATGCTACAAACACCCCCGCGGCTCGCCCCGCGCCCTGCCCTCTGGTTTCGCGCGGAAGACCACGCCCACGCCGCAGGTGCCGCCGCTGTCGTGGCTGTCAGTGGGGCTTAGTTAAGGAAAGAAAGAGAAAAAAAAATCCCGGGAAAAGGGACAGTGCTGAGGCAAAGGGGGGAAAAGAGGTAAAGGACAGAATACTAAGAGCCGTGGGCGGCGCGTGGCCTCGCACTGCCTCGCCGCGGCGTGGTCGCCGCCCCGCCACCGCGACTCCATAAATCCACGTTTATCTGAACTCGCGATACGAAACATTCGTCCTTTTCTATTCCTGCGTTCTCCTTAAAACAGCGCGAGGTGGCGGCGGTATATTATTTTTCTTGTTTCGGCCGACCGACGCGGAAGCGAGAAAGTCGCGCCGTCGCAATGGGGGTGAACGAACGGTCAGCCAAAAGCTGCGAGGCGGCGACCTAGGCTTTCATATACGTCGCCCAGAGTGCCATGTGCGCGGTCTTCGTAGTTCCTTCCAGTAATCCTATCAAATTAAATAAGACAAAATTAAATGCGTCCCACGGTTATTTCTTCCCGCATTTTGGATCACTTACTTGTTAGGTATAAAAGACACCCGCCCCTCGGGTGGGGTCGAGCCTGAGTCGTGCCCGAGCCCCCCTCCTCCTCCTCGGGCGCCCCCGCCGCGGGCGCCGGGTCTGCGGCTGCCCCTGGCGGCGGTGCGGACTGCGCGGCGGTCGGTGCGGACTCGCCTCCGGATTCTGTTTCGTTACTTTTCTTGTCTAATGAAAGGGTTGGCGGTCGTGTCCGACATAAAAACACGCGGCGTGGAGTGGAGTGGAGTGGAGTGGAGGGGCTGCCGCCGGGCTGCCGAGGCCCCCGTGCCCTACTACCCCCTGGGGGCCCCGAGCCCCACTGGCCCAGTGAGGGGCCGGGCCGGGCCGGGCCCCGTGCGTGCGCTTGCCCTGTGCGGTCCGCATTGCTACTTGTCACCAGAGACACATTCGCATTCGTATTCGGACGGGGAGATCCCCCCGCGCCCGCCCGGCCCTCGGAGTACACCGTGTTTAAACAATGTGTCTCACCGCCGCACCGTGCCGCGCTGCGATTCCCTCATGCCGCGGGCGGGCGGAAGCGGGAGGTCGGCGTCTGACGTCCTGGCCGGTGCTGCCACATTACCTATCGCTGTCGCCCCCTCCCGAGGAGACAATTGACGTATCCCCGCCACCTCCCCTTTGCTGTACCGGCTCCAATCGTTATTTGTCTCTCTGTTTTCGTTGCCGTCGTTGTGACCGCACTGCGCCGCGGCCGCGCGAGGTGACTCTGGCCCCTCCGCCCCTCCCCTTGCTGCCCTGTTCGGCTCGGGCCCCGGTCCGCACTGGTCCCAGCGCGTTGTGACACTTTCGCCCCACTTTCCGTTTCATTTCGTGAAATTGGTCGGCCGGTAGGCGTGAGTAACGACGGGCCCCCGCGCGACCACCCTACTATACTCTCTCCCTCTCCCCCCCCCCTCT